TTGTGTCTTCTTGGATTTCTTTGAGCAGTGTTTTGTAGTACTCATTGTAAAGGTCTTTCACTTCTCTGGTTAGGAAGATGCCAAGGTATTTCTTTTTCTTTTGCTTTCTTTTTTTTGTGTGTGTGGTTATTGTGAATTGGAAGTCACTGGTTTTTAAACACTTTTCTCCACCATGCTCTTAAAAGCATAGTCTGAGCAGACTGTCTTCACTTTCTTTTCAGTCTTTCTTCCCCCTCCCACTGCATTTTAACTCTAATCTCTTCACTCTCCTGAACTGCTCTGGAAAAGGACACCCCTGCCCTCCTAATCACCAGGTTTACATGGCTTTTCAGCTGTCTTCCCACCTGGTCCCTTTGCAGCTTCTGATCCTATTGACCATGTGCTTCTTCTTCAGAGCTGTTTTCTTGGCTTCTATGATATCCTTCCCCCTTTCTGGCCTTCCTTTCACTGCTTTTTTGATACTTTATGCTTTGCCCTTTAAATGTGTTCCCCATGGTTTTCTTCTCTGTCTTGACACAAGGGAAGGGAATTAAGAGATGACTGGGTCTTAGCTACTAATGTGTAGACTCCCCTCACCAGTAAAAGGGGCCCAGTAGTGTCCAGGTATCTACTCTCTCAGATCAGTAACCCTTTCCTGGGAAGGGACTGTTTTGCTGCTTTTAGCTTTTCCTTTGGTTCGTTGGTCCCAACAGGCCAAATTGTCCACCAGGGTGAAACTGCCCCTGAAAAGGCAGAGATTAGACAAGGGTCCTGAAATTCTGCCTCCATTGTGGGGGTGACCACTTGGCCAGCGTTCCCCACTGTTAATGAGATACACAGTTCTGCCACTGCCTACAGAAGTTTCTGAAATCTGTCAGGAAGAGATATGAATTAAGGTCTCATAAACCCAGGATGAAACTCACTTTTTTTCTATTTACTCCTTTGAATTATGGCTAAATATGCTGTCCATTTTTAATAGCTTGAGAAGATTAGTCAGTGAGCACAGTTGTTATAATTCCAGCCTATGAAACATAATATTTATTTATTTATTTATTTTGAGTTGGAGTCTCACTCTGTCACCCAGACTGGAGTGCAGTGGCCACTCCCGGCCACCGCAGCCTCGACCTGCTGGGCTCCGGCGATCCTTCTGCCTCAGCCTTTCAAGTAGCCGGAATTACAGGCATGCACTACCACGCCCGGCTGATTTTTTGATTTATTGTAGAGATGAGGTCTCGCTGCCCAGGCGGGTCTTGAACCTGTGGGCTCAGGCAATCCACAGCCAGGCTGAGCCACTGAGCCCGGCTGAAACATAATATTTAAACAGTATGAATTTTCTTGTATAAATAAAATACCAAGTGAAATTAAGGCCCACCGGTGAAATTCCCTTTCCAGGTTGAAATTAAACCTATTATCACTGTATCTGTCTTCTCATGCTATGTTGTACTACTATAGCAAACGGCCCTAAGTCAAAACCTTAGTGGGTTACATGACAAAAGTTTGTTTCTCTCTTGTACCCACGCCTATCATGGGTCAACATTGCCTCCATGGCTCAACTCTTCATTTTGAGACCCAGGCTGAACTGGCAGTCCCTATTTGGAGCATGTTGGGCTGAAGACAGAAAGGGAGATAAAAGTGATGGGGGTACTATTCAGTAACTCTTAAAACTTCTGCTTGGAAGAGGCCTTATCATTTCCATCATGTTACTGGCCAAAGTAATCCATGTGGCCACAATATCAGTGAGGTGGTTCAATAGGAAGGGGTAGTGAATATTTTGGCATTGGGACACTCTACTTCCCTTCACTTCTGAATATGTGGTGAACCCATGGCTCTTGTATGTCTCTCTTTTCTAAAATTTAGAGGAGTTGCCAGAATACATAGGGATGTCGTCAGTACATCAGGCCCACACTCACAAAGTGTAGAGAATGTGAACAGTCACCAGCCACAGTGGCAATGTGGCTATGAGCACCCACCGCTTCTTCCCATGAAGGTGGTAGTCCTGTTGGGCTCTGAGCACCATATCGCAAAGCAGGATGTCACTAATACTTGAGCAGAAATGAAAAGAAAAATTCCTCAATTTTAGGGTAGAATCAGAAAGTGTGTCTTAGAGAAGTCTATAAACAAAGTGTCTTATGAGGTCATGTTGGCTGAGAAAAGTGAGCCCCCTATTCCAATCAGGGTGTCGAGAGGTTAGAGATTAAGAGAGTTGACTTGCTCTACTAAGTGAACAAGAGACCTTAGAGTTGACTGCAGGTCAGGGGAGGTACGGACATAGCAGAAAACCTCCTTGGAGAAGGTGCATGGGTGCCAGAAACATGACAACTTGGGCCCTGAGGAAATTGTCGTTGTGGAGACCATTTCTGCCCATGATAGGTAGAGTGTTTTCTCGTGTATGCCTAGGACATCCCGATGAAGACAACTAGTCTTTGTTGGCCAAGGTGTCCCTTTCTTTAGGGAGCACCCAGGACAGTGTCTGCATGCGAGGAAAGCACGTGGAGAGAGGACAATGCTCCCTGAGATGAGAGAGTGAGAATTGAGGGAGCAGCCCGGGTGTGGAGGGAGGTGAGAGGTAGTCAGGGAAGGTGAGGCCCTCGGAATCTGTGGGAATTCTGAGGAGGCCCTGGGCCTTCTGCAGTGCTGGAGATGGGCTCTGGGTTTGAATTTTAAAGGAGAATGTGGAAACTCTTGCGGGGAAGGCAGGGATAGATGGAGATAAGGAAGGGAAACCAGTTTCCTTAGTTTCAGCT